CGCGGGAGGAGCGCCCCCCCGCGCGGGACAAGTACTCGGTGCTTCTGCCCACCTACAACGAGCGCGAGAACCTGCCGCTCATCGTGTGGCTGCTGGTGAAAAGCTTCTCCGAGAGGTAGCGACCGGCCGCCCTTCCCGAGCACTGACGGGGCCGGCAGTTGGCTGCGCGCGGCCGGTCCCCGGGGCGCCCGCGGGAAGCCTTGGGGCGGCCCGGCCCCCGCGAACGGCGGCGCGTCCTCTCGCTGCCCTCCCTCTCGGCGGCTCCTCTCCGCCCTCGGGGGTGGGGAGGTCTCTGCCGCTTCTGTCGCACCCCCACCCGCCTTCGCGGGGCCGACCTGTTCGGGGCGAGGCTGGAGGCCGGATCGCGCCTCCTCCAGCCCTTCGGGCCGGCTGCACCTGCGAGCGGGGCCGGGCGTCTTCCGCGGGGCACTTGCTCCCGCCCCGGCCGCTGCTTATGTAAGCTGAGGTTTGGGCTCCGCGGCCGGCAGCAGCTGCTGGGCCGGGCGGCCCGCCCGGGGCGAGCGGGGCGGCTTCGCGACCACTAGGTGTTGGATGCGACCGGACGAAGGACGGCCGGCAGTTCCCGTGTGAACGTCTTCTCTTTTTTTTTTGAGCTTGCAGGTCTTTCCTTATGCGCACATACACGAAGTCATTTCGAAACCCAGGCCGTATTCCATATGGCCGGGCAGTACTTTAACCGGTCACGTCCACGCGCGTGCTTCCCAGAGCTGCCCTGTTTTTCCCATTTTGCTTTTCTAGGGGAGGGGTGTTAGTCACTCCTTTCTCGCATTTGGAAGCGTGCTTGATGCAGTGAATGCGCCTTTATTCGCGGAATGTCGCTACGGCCATACCCGGGATAAAGTCGCGGTGGAATTGCTGGGTCGACAGAGATGTGTTTAAAATCGAGTTATTGCCGAGTTGCTGTCAAAAATAAATTGGACTGGCTTAGGATTCATCAGTTTTCACAGAGTCCCTGTTTCTCCGTCCACCAGCCTAGGGGAAATCCTGCTGTTTGGATTATGTTTTTTGGGAGGCTACCTGACCCTTCCATGCTTTTTAATGCATCCTTTTTCCTCCTACTTAGCTTTTATCTTATTTTGATTCGTACAGACTTTTCTCAAACTAGAGAAGGTATATACCAATCTTGTTCTGGTTTGCCTTTGACTAGATACTACAGCATTTTTTGCTCTTAACGTTTCGTTGTGGAGCAGTTTGTCTTCTAATGGCTTCTGGAGTGATACTTTCAGTAATTACCGAGTTTGAGAAAGGAAGCCAACTATTTTCTTGCTTTTAGTTAACTCTCAGCTCAGTTTGATTACTTTAAGCTATTTCACCATCGGGTAGTGTGTGGGTGTTTTGAAGTGGGAGGGGAGTAATTTTGTTTATGAATAGCTCTATTTGTTTTCTGAAGCATCTTTCAGCACATCAAGACAACATCTTACACGGGTTTGGGCTTGTATAGCACAAACTTACATTTAAGGCACAGAGGCAAGCTGACATTATATCTACTTGTAGAAAACAGATTGGCAGAGTTTTGCTTTTTTCCACAGTTACTGGGGCTCACATTTTTATGATCATTTAACAGTGGGATGTGTATTCTGGGTAATTGCCTAGTGTGAATTTCTTAAAGCAGTGTCGAGGGGAAGCAGAGTTGTGGCTTCAAGGGTTCACTCCTTTACCTTCCCCTTAAATTTCCCAGTAACATTGCCCAGTGTCTTCTCTAAGGGGCTTGCCGGGCCAACATCATACTGATCGTGTCTGCCTCCAGCTATTGTGTTGGCTGGTTTTTAGAACAGAAACTTGTGTAACATTAATGAAGAGTAACAGGGGGGTTGATACATTTGAATTATATTGAAGTCTTGTAATTTCCCTGCATTTTTTTTTTTTAAAATAAGAAAGTGGGAGTAATGGATACACCTATTTGAAATAGTGGTGCAAAGAAACTGTATTGCCTTTCCAAAGTGGATTTGTAAGGCGAAACTAAATCAAATTTGTCCCTTATGTTATTTAACTCTTACTCAGTTTTAAATGGACTTGACCCATTTGAGTTGTCTTTCAAACATACTATTGAAATATTTTGTATTACTGAGATTTTAAATTAAGGTTCTATAATTACACGTCCAAAGTAGGTAACTAAATTTTCATGTACTATACATTTTATGTATAATCACGATGTGATTTCATTTTAGTTAAACAGCATGTTTTCTGTGTCAGAATTTTATAGCACCTCAACACTTAACGATAACATTTTTCCAGCAACATGCTGAGTTTGGAAGCTAGTATTAAATATTTGATGTTTACTTCATCTGACAGTTGAAGTTTTCCTTAGTGATTAATGACAGTACGTTTCCACTTATACTAGTGAGGAATTGATCCTTTTAAGACTTCTCTAAGTTTACAGATACTGTTTTCAAACATTAATATAAACTTTTTTTTTAATTTAGTGGAATCAACTATGAAATTATAATCATAGATGATGGAAGCCCAGATGGAACAAGGGATGTTGCTGAACAGTTGGAGAAGATCTATGGGCCAGACAGAATTGTAAGTCACAGTAACATTTTTCTGTTGTATCAGTTATGTTTATATAAGGGTAAGATGAGAAATGAACAACTATTAAATTCAACCCATGACTAGAAACTGAAAGTACAAAGAGCAACTTGAGATTTAGATGCATTTTCGTTGTGCATGAGTGTTACATATTTTTTGATGAGTTGGGTGAGTGGTTGTTTTACTGTAAGATAATGAACCTCTGGATGAACACTTTATGACAGATTCTGGAGATTTTCTTGAAGTGTAAAACTAACACATGATGATAAATGGATAAGAAATACTATAGTACTAGGTTGTGAGTAATAGTGTGTATCTTGCTTTCTCTTCCTCCCTTTATATATTCTCAAACTTTTAGCAGTGACTGTTGCCTGCAGTTGAAAACCTGTCGCTAGGAAAGATGACTGTTTTCATGTGAAGCTATTGACTTTCAGAGCACTAGGAAGTTTATCTGTAGAATAGGGGTGCAACAACTTTGTGAGTCTGAAACTTCAGATTTTTCTTGTGTATCTTGAAGCTTGTTGTTTTTCAACAGAATTTATGCAGATGTGGAGTTCATTATCTTATGGCTTCACACCTTTTTTTTTTTTCACTCCTATGGATTTATACATATGTGAACTTACTTTAATCTCAACTTTGGATAATTGTTGGGCCAAAAGCATACAACTAAGTACAGACTTATTTAGAAGATATTTCTAGGCCCTGGGAATTTGGCATTTGTGAAAGCCAGCACCAGCATTCTCAGTCTCTTGACATTTGTAACCCAATGATTCTTCTCTGTGAGGGACTATCCTATGTATTACAGGATGTTTGGCAGCATTTTAGCAGCAACATCCTCCCTAGTTCATTTCACTTTGCTCAGTGAGTCATTATAATGATTGGTGATACACTTTGGCTGTTTGGCTAGATGACTATTTCTCCTCTTTGAGTTCCTTAGGCAGGGAAATATTTAATCTTTGTTCTTCTCTAAGACCTACAATGACTTGCATATGGGGAAAAGATTTTAATGTATCATGGTTCAGTTGAATTTTAATACTCTAGTTCAGGAATTTGCCATCCGTGGGCGCTAGGACTGCAGGAAGGAGGAGGAGGAGGCCAGTGGCACGCCCGTCCTCCAGAAACAGAAAAGCCAGACCTTGGCATCGTAGTTTCAGAAGCCCTCCAGACAAAAAGATAAAGCTAAACAATGCAGCCAGGGTTTGCATTTTTAAAAAAGTTTAGTAATTAATGGACAAAGAAAAGAAAATTTGACATTCATACTGGGAAGAGAACCCTAAAGTCATGTGTTGAAGTCAATAGTGATTGACATGAAGTCATTCCAAACAGAGCTAAGCTGATGGAGGAAGAGCGGTGTTAACCTTTAAAAGCACAAAGGGGATTGAGAAAATGTGGACATAACATATTTCAAGAAGACAGAAGGAGTTAAAGGCTGTTTTCCTTGGAAGCAATCAACAAGGAACTTTTAAAACGAAAAATCAAGAAATAGATGTAAACCACATTGTTTGCTTAGTTTCTGGTGGGTGACACCAGGGAAAGAAATGTTTAAAATTTCACTGTTGGGTATAAAAATGTTGCTTTTCCTTAAAAAACTGTCAACAATTTGCTTTGTTAGTAAACGGTGTTTTAGAAACTCTGCCAAAAGATGTTAGACATGTTTTACTTTCACCATCTAAGAAATAAAGATATATTTCTGTATAAGTAAAAAATGTTTTCAATACTCACATTTTTGATCATTTGTGTTAAAATGTTCTTTCTTATTCTCACAGCTTCTAAGACCACGGGAGAAAAAGTTGGGACTAGGTAGGTAGGATTTCTCACCCCTCATCTCTGCTCCTTTCCCTGGTATTATCCAGTGTATCCAGTGTATTTTCCTGATTTGGAAAGGGACCCAAAAGTGACCTCTTGTGGTTTTTAATGATCTTGATGACATTTAAATGGCTTAACTTATCTGTATCAGTCAAGGCCCACTCAGGAAAACTGAAACCACTGGCTACACAGGTGTAGGAGTCTCCGAGAAGCCCAAATGAAACCATGCGGCTACTCACGGTCACTTACAGCCTAGCTAGAGGTGGCCAGGACCCCAGACTAGCCAGAAAGTAATAGGTGGTAGATACCTGGCAGCAGCTGGAACCAGGGAGGACATCCTCCAGTACTGGGAGGCAGAGAAAGAACACTCAGATTTTACCCGATCTCCTCACAATCTTCCCATGCCTCCCAAGGTGGTTCAGAAGCCACTTGGTAAAGAGAACCTGAGAAAAACAGTTCCTGCGACAGAGAACAGAGGATGGGAAGGCCGGAAAATGGATTGAGGGTGCATATCTTGGAAAGCTTTTCCAGTTGAAACCTGTTGGGGGGGGCGGGGAGGTGAGTTGCATCTGTGGAAATGGGCCATAGTGCTGAGAAGAGCAGAAGCAGGGAGGAAACTAGCTAAGTAGAAACACCAGAAGCTGGAGGTTGGCGAAGACAACATGGAATTGAGAGATGTTTTTGTTTGAAAGTCAATGTGTATTTTTTAGTAGTTAACAATTTCCCATTCAAATATATATTTAGTATTTCTGAGGATTTTCTTTAATGACTTCATTTTCATTTTTAGGAACTGCCTATATTCATGGAATGAAACATGCTTCAGGAAACTACATAATCATTATGGATGCTGATCTCTCACACCATGTAAGTGGTGTATTTCTTTGTTGGCTGTTTCTCATAGTCTTAACTCTTTTTACTGACTCATTGTTTATTTTTTTCTAAATTTCAGCCAAAATTTATTCCTGAATTCATTAGGTAGGTATTTCGAATATTTGAAAGAATTACGACTCAAATAATTTATATTTATTGTGAGCTTTCTTACTTTTCACTCATCATTATTAAAAATGTTATTTTAAATGCTATGAAAAAAGCAACACCAACATAAGTAGAGTACTAAATGATGTATATGAGGACAGACTAATCAAAATGGACAATTTCTTCATATTTAAACTCTTTCAGACCAAAGAAAAAAGATGGAAAGCAACTGCTTTGTTAAATGGATCTAAGCCGTGTGTCAAAAGCATAAAGTACTGTGACCAAAGCGTACATTTCACAAATGCCAGTGATTCATCATTAGGATCTGTCAGCATAACTGATTTATCACATTAACAAAGAAAGCAGCACAGATAAGCTAACAGATGCTAAAAGGTATTTCATGAGATTCACTGACCATTTCCAATAAGAACTTTACAGTAGAAATAATAAGCAGCCACTTACATGACAGATAACCTAGTGCTATTAAGAATATCTTGTTAAATGGTGAAATGATAAGTCCAATAAACTCAAGCTAGGCATACCAGCTATCATTAAACAGATTTTAGGTAATGCAGTCAAAAAAGAATTCAGTTGAAATATCAGGAAGGAATATAAAATGTATTTATATGTAGGTTCTGTAATAATTTACTTAGAAAACTCAAGTGACCCATGAAAGCTCTCGTAATTTCAGTTAGGAAGTTGATTGTTCTGAATTCAAGCTGATCCACAAAAACAAAATTAGATTATGTCACTTCCCCATTTAGAATACTTGAGGGAGTTCCCATTTACACACAGAGAAAAAAGTCCACACTTGTTCTTTTGCCACTCAAATCTCTATGGTGTGACTCCTTCTGTTTCTGACCTCAGCTTGTACCCTCCCCTTTTCCTCTCTAAGCCACAAGCATATTCCTTTCATTTCTGCCTTCATGTGGAGTGCCCTGTTCCCTTTTGCCTGAGATAGTCTTTCCTGATTCCTTAATAGCCAACTGCTTCTCAGCCTTTGATCTCTGCATAGACACCTCAGAAATACCTTCTCTGCCTATATCTGCACACAAAAGCCCCTTTGATTGGATGAGAAAATGGAGTCAGTGGAGTAGGAAATTAGTGAAAGATACAAACAGGACAGATGTAGAAGAAATTACAAATGGTTAATAAGCCTAAAAGAGGGCATTTCCCCTGGGATATGGTCAGGAAAAGGCATTAAAATAACGGTCACTTTTTTTGTTACCTATTAATTTGTCAAATTTTAAAAATTACTCAGCACTACAATAAGTGCTGAAAATAGACATTAAGTTGTAGAAAATAGAGATAACTGAGTTATTGCTAAAGGACAGGTGAGTTGTCTCACCTTTTTGGAAAATAATTTGAGATACCTGTTAAGAGTTAAAAATACTCATGGAAGTGTTGGCAGTTCTCTTAAATATCACTTTGGGGAGTAAGAACCAAGAGATACATTTATTTTTAAGGACATGTATTATGTGTAATAAACACAGCTCACTGTGTTTATGTTGGGAGGGAGCACCACGCAAACAGCCACGGAAGTATCCAGTTCACATGGATACTTGATAAGTTTTTAAAAATGGGGAAATTCTCTCTTGACAGATAGGCTGTCCCTGATGCCATGATGTATATTGTTGACAGAAAAAAAAGCAAGTTGCAAAATGTATTGTTTATTTATTGCTTCCAGTTTTGTAGAAGTGCCCAGGAAAGCTGAGGGGTGTGGAAAGGGGAGGGTGCTTTGGATATTTATAAGTGTTATCCTCTTATAAACAGAGAGGACTGAAGGGCTGTGAGTAATTTAACAATGTGTGTTAGTGGACAAGAACAGAATGGCAGGGGAGAATTAGAAAAGCTTATAGTCTTACTAAACCGATTTTAGTGTAGTTTCACATGGTCCAATTAGATCAATTTGAAGTTTGAAAAATTAAGGAAAAATAGAGGAAAAACTATTGTATTGATTCATCTGTTACCTTGGCATGCTTTTTCTTTGTGAGTCTTAAAATTTCTTTTTGTGTAGCTCATGAAAGTAACTATGGAAAACTTTGATAGCTTTTTATAATTCACAGCTAATTTGTTTTTTCTGTAGGAAGCAAAAGGAGGGTAATTTTGACATTGTCTCTGGAACTCGATACAAAGGAAATGGAGGTGTATATGGCTGGGATTTGAAAAGAAAAATAATCAGGTACACACATGATGTTCGAAGTCGTCTCTATCTTTTAGTGTAACTGCCAATGACAGGTGTTTGGATTAAATTACCATGCTGACTTGGGATTTGTGGAGTCACTTTGTAGCTTTTGAAAAGTATTCCATGTAACTTCTTACCTATAATTTTTCCTGTGGTGAGGGTATTTATTTGAGATGTTTGTCATTAAGGAAAGTTCATCATAAATGTTTGAACCTTTGGTAGAATTGGTACTAGCTCAGCAAACTTACTCTATCATATTATTCTAGCATACCTTCAGTTTTAATTTGTGTACTGTTACACATTTGGACTACATAAAATAGCTTTTTCTCCTTTTTATCATTTTATGTAAATAAGATGCTTCATAATTTCAACTTTACTAAGCAGCATAAAGTAGTGAGGTTTTGGAGTCAGATCTGGGTAGAAACCTGATTGGCATTTGAGTCTCTTGTGACACCATGCTGTTTCACCTTCCCTAACCTTTCTGCACCATACAGTGCCTTAAAGTGGATTTTGTTTTTCATGAGTCTGTGGAATGATTGGTGGTTCCTTTGCTGGTTTCCCTGGGCTGGGCCATGCCACTTCCTTAGCTGAAGCATCACCTGTGCTGGGAGCTACAGTGTGTCCTCATTCATCTGTCCCAGTCAGTGCTGGTTATTGACTTGGGCACTTCAGTTCTCCCGCCTATGGTCTCTCACCTCTGGAAAGTTACTCTTCACTCCCTCTTCTTCCCCTGGTATCCTGAGGGCAGCAGCTGAGTATACAAAGACTGCAGTTGCCAGGCCTTTTAATGTAGTCTCAGGGATTAGCCCAGCGTCAGACTTTGGTCAAAATAAGCCCATAATCAAAGTGGGTGAAATAGAAACTGCCTCTTGATGAAAGACTCTCTAAAATATTCATTTAGTCTGTATCATCTGCTTTTCAGAGTTGTTGGGAAGATCAATTTGTATCTGTAAGGAATCTCCATATCTTACTGCTTTTTCACAACAACTGTTTAAATTACTAATTCTGCTACCTTTGATCACTCCATTTCTGTTGAATTTTGTTAAGTTCATAGTTTTACTCTTAACTTCGGAGCCTTAGGCACTCATTGAAAACATGAAGGCTCCTCAGCCCTCAGTGAAGTTAAAGGGTTGGCTAAAACAGTGGTTTTCAATCCTGCTGACCACTTGATGGTGCAGGGAGAAAAGGTGCTTCCTGTTCATCTGCACACACACTGCCGACCTGGCAGTGTCACCAGAGGTGGGGCAAAGGCATCATCAGCATTTTCTCCCCAGATGATTGTATTGTGCTGCCAAGGTTAAGTCTAACGAGAGAGTGATCGCTCGGGTCTTACTGAGTCTGGTCATTGCAGCTGTTATTTAAAATTAGGAAGATCCATTCAGAGGCAGCTGGCAGTTTTTAGTCGGTTCGTGTAGTTGTGCAGGCATACCACATTTTGTTAGGTTGAGCAGATGCTGCTTTTTTAACATGGACATTTGTGGCTACCCTCTGTGAAGCGTCTCAAGACGTGCTCCAACAGCAAGTGCTCACTTGTCTATTCAGATTTAATGACAGCATGCACAGTCATAGTTAGGTGTAATGCTATTACTGCACATTTAATAGGCCACATTTCATTGTAAACATAATTTTCATATGTAACTAACATACCTCTGATGATTTGCCTCATGGCGGTGGTCTGGAACAGAACCTTCAATAGTCCCGAGGCGCACCTGTATCTATCATTAGTGGCTAATATCTGCAGTGCCTTAGGTCATAAGCTCTTAAGAGCATATAAGCACTTGCTTACGGTCTCATTAGTAGGCTACAGAAGAACTAGGACCCAAGTTTGTCGGACTCCTGCTGTGTTTTAATGAAAAGACTCCAATCAAAAACTCATGACTTTGAATAGTTGTACTACAGATACATACATGGACACACAAATACACGTTGTTTTAAAAACAAATAAATGGCCTCCCTGGTGGCTCAGGGGTTAAAAATAGTGCTGTTTAATAGGTCTCCTTGAATGTTACAGTGAATAAAAATTCCTATTCTCTGAAAACTAAGGAATAACAGATTTCCTTTTTACTGACTAAAAATTTCTTTTGTGCTATAGACTAACATTTTTGTGAGTAGTGTTGCACTTATGAGACCAGAGTAGAGTTTTTAGCATGCTGTCTTGGTTATGTTTCTCTTGTTTAGAATCTGTTTTATTTGACAGCCGTGGGGCCAACTTTATAACTCAGATTTTGCTGAGACCAGGAGCATCTGATTTAACAGGAAGTTTCAGGTACAGTAAAAACTGGTGGGGTCTGATTTTGAAGAAGACATAGAGTAGGCTCCATGGGTTGCTGAGATAGGGGCTTAGGTTTTCTTCCCGGTTCTCCTAGTCACATCATCAAAGGGCCCTTTTTAGTGGTGTATGGCCTATGAGAACCTGTGGTGAGTGAGCAGGGTGATCTCTATAGATTTAGAATGCTGAGTGCCTGCCCGCTGTGTCCAAGCACTGAACAAGAGCCCAAGCCTCAAACCTCATGGCGGACTATGAGGCCTCCAGCTGCATAAAACAAATACGGTGTCACATGGGGCTTTGTGATGAGAGAGGAAAACCCAACAGGGAGAGCAGGAGCTAGGGTGTCTCCTTGCCACCGGAACTACACGGGGCTTAGAGGAGGAAATGAGGAAGATTAAAGTTCAGCTTCTCTCTAGGCAGAGTACATTAATTGTCCGAAGGTCACATGAGATTTACGGGGTCTGTTCCATTTTCAAAACAAGAATCCCTGAAAGGCTAGAGTGTGACATGACCTTTTAATAGCAAAAACCATTTGGATCCTAACTATTTATTGGCTGATACGGTTTTCATGACCAATTTTTTTTTTGCTATTAGCCAGAGTGTTGGGGATGCTGTGGTGGGGCAAATGGGGGTAGAGAGAAGAGAAACATCTTACAGAATGACTATTTGGGTAGTAAAGCTTGTGTCTTCAAGGACATACCCTGTCCCAGTTTTCAGAGAACAGCCGAAACACAGTCCCATCTGTCACCGTCCTTCCCACCCCCTAGCCCCAGTCTTCCCTCCCCTAAAACCCCCTTTCACAGATGTCTTACAGTTTCTAGCTTAACCAGAACCACCAAAACAAAAAAAAGGTGCCTGAAACACAGCAGATGACTTAATGTCATTGAAAAAATGTGATCACATCAGGTTCTTCTCACTTTGAATTTACTCCAGACATTGTTTTGGATTCTCACGGAAGCTGTGTGGGTAAAGGAGACACTCTGAGACCCCTAGGGTCCCTCTAAGGGCTTCCTGTGTTTTAAACCCACTTGAAAGCTTAAGGAGCTCCTGAAGAAGGTGATTGGGTTCAGCCATAGGCTTCTGGCTCTCTGTTAATGCTCTGTGTTGACCTGCAGTGCATCTCAAGCTAGTACCCTGCCCATTGGAAGTGTGCCCTCAATGGGGTAGCTGAACCCCACCAGGATGGCGTCAGTCCTAGTTTCTGTCATAACATAGCTTAACCAAGCCCATCTCAAGGAAGCAAACTCAGTAATGAACATTTATGAGAAAATACATGTCAGTTTCTGGGTTCTTTCTTGTCATCTAATTTATACTGTTACTTAATCTGTCCACTATTGTTATAGTATTTGGGAGAGTTTCTCTTTCAAAGCAAAATTAAAAAAAATTAAAGACAAAAAAATAATTTACGGTGTATTTATAATTTCTGTAGTATGATAAGATGTTAACAATTCATTTTCAAATTTAACTCAGATTGGTTGCCAAGTATTTCATGACCTTTCAATTCAGGACAAATGTAGCATAGTCATCAGCTGTGGCAAACTTTTTTATATACAAATTATGAAAAGAAAATTAAATTCTTGAAAGGTAAAGATAAGTGTAGCAATGTATTTATCCAAGTGTTGGTATATTTTCTTACAGATTGTACCGAAAAGAAGTTTTACAGAAATTAATAGAAAAATGTGTTTCTAAAGGCTACGTTTTCCAGATGGAGATGATTGTTCGAGCAAGACAGCTGAATTATACTATCGGTGAGGTATGTGCAGCTAGTGGTAAAGAGTGTTCTGTACTCTCTATTCCTCAGAAAGACACGTGAAGGTTGTAGACTGTAAGCTTATTAAACTTGCTATAATGTGGAAGACTTCACTTGTTTAGAATGTTCACGAAAATTCCCTCTCAGATATGTTCAACCATATATTTAGACCACTAACCAAAAAGAGCATTTTAAATAAAAGTTACTGATACTTCATCCTTGCCCTTTCTACACGGTATTATAGGATGAACCTATCTGCTGCTTTTTCTTTTGTCATCACCAGTGACCGCTCCATTGATGACAACTCCATTTGCTCACTGCCTTCAAGAAAAAATAAAATAACTTATTGTAGATACTGTAATATCTACAGCTAGTGAGGAGCCCTTAGGGAAGTTTCCTCATTTAACATTAATCCTATTCAGAGTCAGAAAAAAGCCAGCCTAGAATGCCACATCTCTCAAGGAGGTTATACTTAATACTTCCTTGAGACTTTAGTATTAAATTTAACTTAATATTAAAACATAGTGACAGGAAAATTTGATAACTGTAAGCCATTTTACTTTGGGAGTATATGTTTTCCCTCAAAGTGCAGTCTAAAAGTTGAGGAAACCACTTCACTATTCAGTGACTTTCAAACAGTTTGTAGGTATGGTTCCTACGGCCTTTTTTTTTTTTACAAAAAAAAAAAACCTGCATGTTTGATTCTAAGCGTGGATCTAAATGATCGCTGTTAAGAATTCCCTAGTCCTGAACTTAACTTGGAGGACTTGCTGTCTTGGGACTGAACCCTGTCCTTGTGGTAGTGACTGTGTGATTGCTATGCTTCCTTTCTGATTTGTTGGAAAACTGACAACCTATATCTTTCCAACTAGGTTCCAATATCATTTGTGGACCGAGTTTATGGTGAATCCAAGTTGGGAGGAAATGAAATAGTCTCTTTCTTGAAAGGATTATTGACTCTTTTTGCTACGACATAAAAGAAAGTTACTTATTTATACTTATGTTCATTTCAATTTAAAAATAAAAGAAGCCTGGTTGCTGACTTTTGTAAAATGTACTCTTAGAGCATAAATAATAAGGTAAGGTAAATTTCATGCAAATCTTTTTCCTGAAGAAACTCCAATTTATACTTCAAATTAAATTAGAAAAATGAGAAGTGTTCTCAGTTTTTGTTTACATTTTGCTTTATTAAGACAAATAAATGTGTATGGTTTTGCATAAAATACTGCTGCTTAGAGTATGTGAATGAAAAAGTTCTTACATAGGGAAGATTTAGAAATATTTATAAAACTGGAATCATAGCCCTTTGTACCTAGTAGATGTCAGACTAGGAATGCTAATTTTCATGGAATATATGTTGCTGTTTATAAACTAAAAAAGAAAAACACATCTCTGCCCTTTAAAAATGTACCTGAAAGAGAGTGTAAAACATATATTAAGATCAGGATTTTAGTTTGGGCCTTGATGACTGTTGAATTGATGAAGCATTTCATCTGTCAAAGCAAGTCTGAAATATAGTGAATTGGAAACAGCTTGATGTTGACTGCATGGAGGTTTTTCCCCCTGTCTAAGCAGTAACTGCTATCAGTGATAAAAAGTGTTGATAATATTAAGACATAAACTTAGCTACTATACTACTTCTTAGACATTTTACTAAATTATATAAAATAGGTTCTTCTCAAACCCTTTCTTAATATTACTTAGAGCCCTCAATAACGCATACATTATTAGAAACTTGACAAATCCTTTCCCTAAGGTTCTTTTCTCCATTGAGAAAGAGTTCTGCATTTATGTGCAGGTAAAGTTGCTCAAAAAGACAGCACAAGCATTTCTGTTTACCTGCCTCCTTTAAGTAGCTTATTTCTAAAAAAGACAATTACTAGCTGTAGTACCTTTTGGTATGCAGTATCTTTTACAATCTTAGTTAAGGTATGCTTTGTGCAAATCAAGTTGACTTTCCCTTGCAAATGAAAGGAAGACGTTGTCTTAAGTTATTTAATAAGCCTAGTTAGTGAACATTATTCCTAACTGCATTAGTCTGGCTTAATTTGGCTGTCGACAAAACTTTAAGTCTGTTTGCCATTTGTTTCTCTTAACAGAATTTCATACCAGAAATCACTACCAGAGTACAAGACCCAGGTGTCATTTTACATATTAACATTCTCATAGTTGCATCCATAGGCCGGCCACCTTAGGCCCACTGTTCTGTTTCCCTTTTACCCAGAGTTGTGCGACTGGCTGTCAGGAATGTGCCTCCCTTGGGGAAGTGACTTCTGGACTTAATAACTAAAGAATTCATTGTTGTTCTGATAAAACTTATTTTAAGTACTATTTAACAGTAGAGATGCGGTACTTAAGAGTTTAAAGTCTATTCTCTGTCATCTAAAAACCAAGAGGTTTTTATTGTCTATTTTGTGGAGCAGAGATTCAGTAACTACCTCAGAGAAACCCAATATATAGTGTCGCTTTCTCAGATCTAACTGCAGTAGATAAACTTTTTAGTCTTTCCAGTTTTTTCCCACAAGCATTACAGCACTATCACTGCTGGAATTTACAGTGAAGTATTTGAGTATGAGGACATTCGCCATTTGGAAGTTATTTAGAGAAGAATCTAGACTATTTGGATGCATTTTTGTAGTAGATCTGGTGACTTAAAACACAAACTTTTCTAAACGTTTACATGTGAAGCCAGCATCCTTTTTACTTGGTAAATGAGACAAAGATGAAATCCAGATGATCTTCCTATGTATGATCACTGTATGAAATCGAAGTCTTTGCTTATTTCCTATCACTTTGTGCCTGTCTTCTGGACCATGTGGTTGGAGTCTTCATCTTTTCCTCTAAATGAATGAACGCCCTTGATTTTTCTTACTTTCTGCACTTTCCTTGAAATAACGATTAAGCTTTCAAAGATTTTACCTATATGCCTATATTTTATTATTTGTTTCAAAGACTTTGTCACAATTTCAGCATTTAATGGCATGTAGTGTGTTGGATGAAACAGCTTGTTAAACTCCTAGCCATTGAGACCTACGTACGTGTCCTCTTTCAGCTCAGAGCTGTGGGGGTGGGACATACTGTTCTAAACTATTTCAAGTTGAAGTAACAAATCGCAAACGATACGTACCTATAGAGCACAATTTAACGCAGCCTTGGTTGATCCTTCCATTGCACTTGTACTTTTCAGTGCATCCAGCCAGCGGGCACTCAGATACACTATGGAAAGTGGCTTCCAAACTGCTGAGAGCCAGGTGTTGGTTGGGGTTGAACTGAATTGAGGAAGAGAAGCCCCACAGTGGAAGCATGGTTTCTAAGGATCCTGGTGGTGGTCCGTTAGCAACATCGTTCTCGTCCTTAGGCCTCACCAGCTTGGTGTGCTCAAAACGTTAGTCTCATCTGTTCTCTTTAGGCCAAAGGAAGAGTTCCTCACTGTGGCTGGGAAGAAAGGCCAGCGCTGGCCACTGAGTACCCCTCCGCGCCAGGAGGGGGGCAGCTCCCTAGTGGCTCTTCTCAAGGCGAAGTGTGAAGCACGAGGCCCTCACACCTCATTTAAGGCAGAGCCCGCAGGCGTGGTGGTGTCCCTGCCCTTCCCTCGGCTGCCTAGCAGTGAGCGCACCCGCCTCCCGGCACGTGGAGCCGCCCGGCTGCCCGCACGCCCCCTCCCGCCAGATGTAGTCCAGGCCCAGCTGGGCCCGCGCAGGGATCCCCAGCGCGGCCACCTGACTGAGTGCTGGGCGTGCTGCGGCCCGCTGCTGGTGCCTCCGCCGCCGGCGCTGCGGCCGGAGGAAGGCGGCCGCCGTGCACACGGACCCTGGAAGCGCACTGCAGCCATTATCCACGGCGCCTCCTAGTGGGTCAATGGCAAATCTGGTTCTCGCGAGAGCTTCTCCTCAGTGGGGATTATATAATCTCCCTCAGGCGGGGGCTAGGGGGCTTGTGCCACCTTCCTGCAGGGAAACTTCAGGGCCCACCCCGGTGGAGTCAGAGTGGTCCCTGGGGGCCCAGGGGAAGGGGGACTGTCCCCCACTGCCCCCCCCATGGACAATGAGTCCTCTTATGCTAATGAGCTCTTACGTCACTTCCGCTCTTTCTCGGCCGCCATTTTGGCTAGGGCAGGTTCGGGGACTCGCTCCGAGGCGCTTGTATTGTCTGCTGAGGGGAGACGCGGGATCAGCCCCCTCCCCCGCCCGTGGCCGCCGCCGCCGCCGCCGGCCCGGTCTCCCCTCCGCCGCCCGCCGGGATCCATGAGCTGAACTCCCGCCCCCCCGGCCGCCGCCATCTTGTGCCCCCTCCCCCTCCCGCCGGCCGCGCTCAGGGGGATTTTCGCGTCTCCTCAGACACAGCTCCCTCTCTCGGTCCCCGCCGCGGAGGAGCGACAGGAGCGCGGCCGCCGCCGCCCGCCTGCCCGCGCCGGTGAAGCCGCCGCTCCCACACCCTCCGTCTCCTCCCTCCGCCCCTCCTTTGTCTGCACCGCTCGACGACGCTGCCGCCGCCGCCGCCCGCGCGGGGACTGGAGGGGCCACTTTTGCCGCCCAGCAGAGAGCCGGTGAGGCCGCCGCCGCCC